CATATGCCATCCAACGCCCCAGCTTCAACATGTCTCTTGATTAGACACATATTTCTTCCATCTTTCTTCATTTTTCTCTTTTGTCTTCTTCTCCTTTATTTCCTTTTTAAAAAAAAAAAAATCAAATCTGATTCTTATATTTTTTTCTCATTTTTTTAGATGAAATCGTGTTCTCCATTACTCGATCTATCTTTTGAGATCTGTGAAGATGCATTTCCAATGTTGGTGTACACCTTATTTAATGTACATAAGTTATTTTGTGTACGTTTTTTTGACGTATACATGTGTACATTCAAAATGAACCAATATATGTGAATAAGTTATGCTCATAAGGTACATTGAAAATTGCCTCATTCTGATAAAAAACACAAAACTATCCCACAGTGAAAATTACTCTTATTCCGGACACTGTGAGTTGATGGAGATCTTTGACTTATTTGTCTCGTAATTATTATTTTTTTGTGCCGCTTAGTCATTTTCTTCATCACGACAAAATATTTCAATTGTTAGTTTTATGATATAGTGATTCTTTACACAAATACTGCGACTGATATGTTTATGATCCAATTTGAGATTTATTTATTTTTAATCATTTTTTTTGACATCGACTAATCTACTATTCAATCTTGAGGTGGTTTAGGTAATCAGACCGAAATAGAACAACCAACGTACATAAGCTTACGATAAAAGGACCTAGCCGTCTTAGCTAGAGAATCGGAAAAGCCGTTATGTAACCTAGGAACATAAAAAATCTTGAATTCAGGGAAACAGATTCTCAGTGTCAAGAGTTTTTCCAGTTCTGTTGAGAAACTGGGCCATGCATGAGGATACCTGAGCATCGCGATCATCTCCTTGCAATCAGTTCCAAAGCTCTAACATGACGAATGTTGAAGCATATTCTCCATTGCCCACCGCAGTGCCTCCAACTCTGAATGCAACGCCGACTCCACTCTATCAAAGTTACGCATCCCCATTAGCTGGCCATTTCTGGAGCAATCATTCAACACCCATCCACATCCACTGAAAAGGTCAGAAGAAGTCCAAGATCCATCCACCATGCATATGTTACCCATACTTATGCCCTGGTCTTCGTCTACTCCGTTCCCAAGGGATAACAATATATCCTGCTCATTTGCTTGGAACCAGGCTTGGCACTCACTTTCTGCATAGCGCGCTACCTCCAATGGGTCTCTATCAATACCTCTGAATAGCTTATCATTCTGACCCTTCCAAATATACCAAATTATCCAGGGATAAGGATCCCTATCCATTTCCGGTTCCCTTATGGCATTATTCCTCCAGAAGAGATAATCCATGTTCGCGTACGTGCTTTGTAACGGAAACAAAGCGGGATTGGTAGGCGTAGATGATAATGCCCAAACTTGTAATGCAGGTGGGCATTCAAAGATTGCATGTGTAATCATTTCCTCGGGTTTCCCACATCGAGGACAGTGGTTATCACATCTCATATGTCTATAATTTAAGATGCTCGTAATAGCCACATGTCTTGTTATCAATTGCCACATAAGATGGCAAATCTTTTGGGGAACCCTGACCTTCTAAGTATGTGCTTGGAGTTTTGTGATACTAGGTTCACATACAGCAGATTCCTCTTCCTTCATCAAGATATTTCGTGCTACCCAGTATCCAGATTTAACTGTCCATTCCTTGTAACCTCCAGCAGTACGTATCCCGGCGATGTGTGGAACTAATGGCCATACTCTTAATGAGTGGTATATCAGCAGCAGCTACATAGTTCTGAAGGCGGCTCTTATCCCAAGTCTTCGTTGTTTGATTAATCAAATCGCTCACTCGCATATTCGGATGCAAAACCGGTGCCAATGGGGTTGTTGGTCTCGCAGGTATAGTAGGGATCCAAGTATCTTCCTAAGCTTTAACGTCATAGCCCGAGTGGACTTTATGTCGAATTTCCAACAATAACAGCTCTCCTCCCGCTGATATACTTGTCCACACATATGATGGGCTACTAGTAGTGATCTGACGCAAAGGCGTACTCAATCTGTAGTACCGGCCTCTCAAAACGCGAGCTACCAGAGAGTCCGGATTTTGTACCAGTCTCCATAACTGTTTTGCTAGTAGCGCTAAGTTGAACTCATGGACCATCCTAAAGCCAATTCCACCTTCTTCTCTGGATAAGCATAATTTGTCCCATGTTGTCCAGTGAATACCCCTTTTTGGGGGAGTTTGAACTCCACCAAAACTGTGGGATGGCACTAGCTAAATTCTCGCAAATCTCCAAGGGGAGAAGAAAGCAGGACATTACATAGGTTGGAAGAGCAAGCAGTACCGATTTTATCATAACTTCTTTGCCCCCTTTAGATAGCCATCGTCCAGTCCATCCATTCACTCTACTTCTCAGCTTGTCCTTGAGGAAGGAAAAGAGCTTGCATTTGGACCCACTGATATCCTCCGCTATTCCTAAGTATGACCCCATTCCTCCTTCATTTTGGATCCCAAGTGTGTTTTTGATCTCCTGTCTCATATCCTGACCGATTCTTTTACCAAACAGTAAAGAAGACTTATCAAAATAAATGCATTGCCCTGAAGCTTATCCATATATCTTGACCACTTTCATTACTTCTTCACATTCACGGGGCACCGCCTTACAAAAGAACATGCTATCATTAGCAAAGAGAAGGTGAGATACCGAAGGGCACGCACGCGTGATGCGCATCCCCGTTATCTTTCCCTGGTTCTCTGCGTAATTTAGAAGGCTAACGAACGCTTCCGTGCATAGAATAAAAATGAAAAGGGACATAGGATCTCCTTGTCAAAGACCTCTCTCTGGGACGATATTCCCTCTTGCTTGTCCATTTATGAGGACCTTGTACTTTACTGATGTTACGCATCGCATTATCATAGTTATCCAGACTTCTGAAAATCCCATCTTTCTCATGGTGGCTTCAATGAAGGACCATTCCATCCTATCATATGCCTTGCTCATATCTGTTTTAAAAGCCATCCTCTTGTTACGGCCACTCGGTTTTGTTTTTAAGGAGGGAACATCTCTTAAGCTATCATAATATTGTCAGATATCTGTCTCCCAGCAAGAAAGGCTAACTGGGTCTCTAAACTCCTATCTAGTGGAAACTTTTTTAATCTCTGGCATAAGACCTTAGAGATAATCTTGTAACTAACATCTCATAAGCTGATAGGGCGTAACTGACTCATCTGATTTAGCTTACGCACTTTAGAAATGAGGCATATGTTGGTATCATTTAGACCGGAAGACACCATTCCTTCAAATAAGAATTGATTAACCATAAGAGTTAAATAATCCTTTACAATATCCCAGAACTTCTGGTAAAACAGCGGTGTCATTCCATCCGGCCTTGGGGCTTTCTCTGAGTGCATCACGAAAAGGGCCGGTTTAACCTCCCATTCGGTGATCGGAGCTGTTAAAGTTTCATTATCTGTTGGCGTAATTGTGGTTGACACTTCAGAGAGTGCCTCCTCTATCTCCTCAGGATTTAATGATTGGAAATGTGTCTAAAGTAACTTGTAGCAATGGCTACCAATCCTTCCTCATCCTTTACAACATTCCCATCTTCATCCAGCAATTGGGTAATCATATTCCTCGCTCTCCTCTGCTTCGTAAGGGCGTGAAAAAAATTAGTATTCCTATCCCCTTCCCTTAACCAGAATACTCTACACTTCTGCTTCCAGAACATCTCCTCCGCCTTAAGAGCGTCGGATAGGTCCTTAATAGCTGCCGCAATCTCCTCAGTAGTCGCATCATTGTTTGATGATAAACGATCTACCTTTTCCTTGAGCTTCTCCATAGTTTTCTCTGAATTCAGATTATGTTGCTTTTTCCATTCACTTAATGCTCGCCAGCAACTTGCAATGTGCTCCATTATACTTGCGCCCGGTGGGAGATCCGGTGATTTCCATCTCTCAAGTATAATTTGCTTGAGCTCTTCGTTATCCAACCATCTCTTATCAAATTTGAAATTTTTTGTTCTCCTAGGTTTCTTTTTAAGAATGTCAGCTAGTACCGGACGATGATCTGATCCCCAGAGTCTCATATATTTCACTCTGGAATGAGGGACCTTCTCATGACAGTCTTCATTCCCAACAGTCCTATCAAGGCGGCATCTAACTGTCGTCCTCCCTGCTCTATTTCCAACCCAAGATAGCATGTTCCCTGTGAAAGGAAACTCCAGCATACCACAATCACTTAACATTTGCCTGAAAGGCAAAAAGAGTTATATGGGTGTTGTCTGCCTCCTTCTTTCTCTTCATGACATGTGATTTCATTAAAATCCCGTATCATAAACCAAGGTCCATTCCTTGTTGTTGAGAACCGCGTAAGACGTTCCCAAACTAAATCTCTTCTTTCTAGTACATGATCCCCATAAACAAATGTTATGTAGACTTTTATTCCATCAATGACTGCCTTAATGTCAATCATTCTGTTATTTGAAAATAAAACATTAACTTGAAATTCATCCATAAGAAATAAAGCTAAACCTCCGCTGAGTCCAAGTGGCTCAACGGTAAATAAACAATCAAATCCTAAGTCGGCCTGAATGTCTTGCAACAGTAGCCTCCTATTCTTCGTCTCATATAGAAACACAAGTCCTGGGCGATGCTTCTGACACATCTCTGTAAGGCGTCGAACTGTGAGGTTGTTTCCAATCCCTCGACAGTTCCAACTGATTGTCCTCATGGATGAAGGTGGAATGAGTTTTTGGAACCCATCAAAACCTCATGTGATGTAGACTCGTCTCTTATCCTCAGTGGCCCTTGTCTAGTGTGCTTCCTAGAATCTCCAGCTTCCCTGGAACCGGACTTTGATCGTTTGCTTGGAGATCCCCTGCAGAGGAACTCAATTTTTTTGTTTTGAATGTCCAAAGGAACATTAGACACACCACCATGTCGTTTACTACGTGTGGATTTCTTTTCAGCTTTTAGAGTCCCTGTGCGTGATGCTTGTAAGTTAGTATTATTTTCTTGAGCCTCCATTAGCTCGACACCTAGAAGATCATCATCATTACGATGGGTTCAAACTCCATCATGTCGTCGCCTTGTTGCTCAATATTATCCATATCATTCAGCGCACCAATCATTTGATCATCTCCATTTAGGTCCTGGACAACCTCATGTGAAAATGACAGAGATTTAGCAACTCCCTTAGTTCGGACTGTTACATAGCTCTCCAAGATTGTGTCATCAGCTGTTGGCGTGACAATCTTACTTGCCAACCGTTTAAGCTCAGGCGCAGTACCATTATGAGTACTCTTACGCAGTACCATTTCCTTATCATTGCTCAGTGAGACGTTTGATGTCGATCTGGATACATGTCCATATGGAACCTTATCTGCTTCATTGTCCCGTGGACCAGATGAATTCTATTCTCCATCATCAGCAGTGATGCCCTTTGATTTTATTCTCCATTGCTGCTCATTTCTCCGGTCATAAAGACCTGAAGTGTGTTGTGCACCACCATGTTTGGTGCTCCTATACTATCATCATGGCGTCGTATTATTCTGTTTGAGTGTTCGTATTATTCTGTCTGAGTGTTCCCTTCCACGCCTATGATCTACCAAAGAATGGTGTCTGGAAGTACCATATCCTTGGTTTCTCACCTGTTTAAAATAATCTTTCAATGTGGCTCAAGCTCAGTGACTGACCTGGAGAATCCGAGAGACTTCACCTGAATCACTATAAGCAACAAATTCATGTGTTGATGGCAGGCCCCGCCCTTAAAATGTTTGGACCGGAAGCATTAAAAAAACATGGACCAATTAATTAAATAAATAATAGTACTAAAATATTAATTATGTTGCTAATCATGTTTGAACCATTCACCTCTCAAAATGTCAACAACAGCATTAACCAACTAAACTATTAAGGACATCATTATTGGTGGTCCTTAAGTTGAGTCCCTTAGCGTAAAATCTCTTAGCTTTACGGGATGTCTCTTAGCGTTTTTAATTAAAAGCTAAGAGACTTTATGTTAAGAGACCCAACTTAAGGACCACCAATAATGATGTCCTAAAAATATTGAAAAAAATTGGTCAAAAATTTTAAATATTTTAACAAGGCCGAAAGCATATGCTTCTAATGTTTCTACCCAAGATCGCTACTGGTCGATGGAAATGGAAAAGTCAAAGAGTTACTGTTGAGACTGTGAACAATTGAGCGATCATGTTTGTTCTTCTCATTGAACACATAAGAGTCCTATGATGGGACTTGGGACAATGATTCTCTACGTTCTAGAGTAAGTAAAGAAGCAATGACAAGAATTGGGACGGAAATTATCTACCTTAGGGAATCATTCTTGAATTATAAATACATGAAACAAGACAAAAAAACAAAGTATTAAATAATTAAAAAAAGTATTAAATAATGTTCTTGAATTTGCAGTGAAATAATACAAAAAGGATCATTCAAACTTCCACACAGAGAACCACTTTCCTCTTCAACGAGGCTCTAGTTCAGTAATGGTCGTGTCACTAATGGAATAAGATACCTGCTCAAATTCAGGCCTGCTACGCGGGAAAAAACTCGGTAGTTGAGGCACTGCTAGAGTGATTGTGTTGCTACTGAGCATCAAAATGATAGTTGATAACATTGGACGGTCGTCTGGATTGTCTTGAACACATAATAACGCAATATGGATGCATCTAGTGACTTCATTATTTTGATTATTCCTTCCAATAGCTGGATCCAACAGCTCTAGTGGGGATCCGTTTCTCCAAAGCCTCCAAGCCTAAACACAAAATGAACATATCAAGAACTACTTTGTCACAATGTTAAACTGTTGAAAGTTGTTGAGGTCTTTATGCTCACATTATTGACCAAGTTTCCAGCAGTACTAGTTTCATCCATCTGGTAGACACTACTGTTTTTCTTTCCACTTATAATCTCGAGAATTAAGACGCCAAAGCTGTAAACATCAGATTTCATGGAGAATTGACCTTGCAATGCATACTCAGGAGACATGTAAGCGCTGAAAAACATACAAGTACAGTTAATATGCAACAGAAAAAGAATTTCACAAACTTTGTGTGCTCTCAGCAATTACAAGCATAACTCACTAAGTTCCAGCAATTCTGTTGGTATTGCCTTGACTTTGATCTTTTCCAAAGATCGTACACAGTCCAAAATCTGAAATTTTTGGGTTCATATCAGCATCCAAAAGAATGTTACTTGCTTTGAGGTCACGATGTATGATTGTGAGACGTGAATCTTGATGAAGATAAAGAATTCCTCTAGAAATCCCACAAATAATATTGTATCGCTGAGTCCAGTCTAGCTGACCTTGCTTCTCAGGGTCTGCACATTCTTATGTATGATCAATCAATCAGTTTAAAATCTGAAGAAGAAACCCTCTAAAATAAATATAAACTATATAAGGTAACGGTACCAAATAGGAAATAGTCAAGGCTTTTGTTTGGGACAAACTCATAGATAAGAATCTTTTCTTCTCCTTCTAAACAGAATCCAAGAAGCCTAACTAGATTCCTATGTTGAAGTTTTGACACAAGAACAGCCTCGTTCCTGAACTCTCTTGTCCCTTGCCCTGACATTTTTGACAATCGCTTCACAGCCACTTCAGTTCCATTTGAAAGTGTACCCTACATACCATTGAGTGAAACAAACATGACCAGTTACTTTTCATAACATATAGAAAAAATGGAAAACATAGACCATCTTACTTTGTAAACCTCGCCAAATCCACCTTCACCAAGCTTATTACTCCTGGAAAAGTTGTTTGTTGCAGATTCAATTGTCTTAAAGTCGTATTGAGATGAATGTGTAATTGAAATGTCATTATCAGCTGCAAAGCAAGGGTGTATAATTATTAGTTATGCTTCATGTTTCAAACAACAATAGCTAAACACAGAAAATACTAACTTTCATTAAGAGCTCTTTGGTATGAGTTTCTCCTCCGACGGAAAACACATCCAAGAACAAGCAGTATTAAGACGCCAACAACAGTTGCAACGGTAATCGCCATGATAACTCCAGCTGAGAGTCCTTTGTTATCTTCCCATAACATAAAAAAAAATGTCATAATGATATATTTCAATTCTTCTTACAATCATTTTTCTCCCTCGTAACTATCATATAACATCATAGCTACAAAATGAGGTCTTTAACATATGATAGTTCCGATGGGGAAATAGATTGTTAACCCCCTTTTCAACTAGAAAACTTACCAGTGTTGATATTGCTAGTCTGATCAACTGCAGGAGGAGGAGAAGCCGCCGTAAAACTAACAAACGAAGCCTTAGAGAATGCATACATCTCCATCCGGAAATAGCAACTTGGCCGCCGGAAACGGATCCCTTGCCTCTTATTACAGCATTGCCGGTTGTAGTAACTTACGCTCTCTCGGAGGCAAGTCCTACAATCACCAGAGGAAAGATCCGGCGTGCATTGCAACAATGCATAGATATTCTGGTAAGGATTCAAGACTGCGATATTAGCTGTGTAATAGTTATCACTAGAGGATGGTGTGCTTTTAGATGTGGATGCTGCATCAACCATACGAACATATAAGTCTTCCCATATCTCCGTGAACTGTGTTAGATCTGAGGTTGCATTTGCACCGTTGAGGTTACTACTAGCTGGAATTAGTTCTAAAGATCTTAAGAAAGAAATGTTGGAGTAGCGCACATAGCAAAGCGTGGGACCACCTGGCCATGAATACGCTTCTTTTTGGTTTGGACAACTCTGTATCAAAGCATCAGAGGCGGACTTGATACAAGTAGAACAGTCAGCCATGTCTGATCCTGGGATGCACATTCCTGCGTAGATACGGTTCGGTTCTTGTCCGATGGAGACGTTGTAGAAGAGACCCTTTTGAGCCGTGACGTTGGAAGGAAGATAAGAGAGGATGAGATGGCGGTTTGCATCGTAGGTACCGTTGGGCGTGAAAAACCCATTGTTGGAACATGTTTCTTCTGAAAAAGAAGCATTAGCACCGAAGCTTATGAGGACAAAACAGAGGATTGAACACAAACTCATCAGCTTCATTTTTTTTGTTCTTTGTAAGATGATATTGCCAACCGAAGTTTCCCTCCCAATATTTATAACGTTGTATTCGTTAACTTGTCAAAAGTCACAAGTCAATAGTAACGTTGAAGTTTCAAAAAACTTGACACAAATGATACTCCATGGAGAAGGACCACCAATGTGTCTGTCTTTGGTTTGACAAATAAGCCAGTTTTGGTTATATCTAGTTTGGAGCAGACCTTTTGTTAATTGGACGAAACGGAGTAGCTATGAACCACTAGCCTGAGCGACAAACATTAGCAACTGAGTCTAAACAGACAGATGAAAACCTTTTCTGTGTTTTCTGTTTTATGAGTAATTATTGAATTTGTGTAGACAAAGTTTTAGTAAATATAGTTTAGTTATAATGTTTAAAGTTCTGATCAAGTTAAGATAAAATAAAATTGTAATATACCAAAATTTTTATAATTTAAAATGTAACTATATTATTTTTATTTTTATTTTTTGTCATTAAAACAACTGAGTTCATGTATATGGTTAGGTATGGTCATTACATTTTCTTGAACACATAAGAGTCAGCTATTGGTTGCATTTCATCATCTCGCTTCTTGATACATTCTTTATGACCACTGAATCCATCCAGCTATCTTTATGATAATGTTATAACGCATTCGTCAATCATCTGGTTTCGCAACCTTATAAATTATCTCGTTCTTGAATTCTTCTCCTCCTTGCCTGAACATATGCCGATCTTTTGGACTTCTGCTGAGAATCTAGGAATACACAGGACATATGGATCGGATGTTCTTTATGGATATAGTTGAAAAGTAAAAACATTTTTTTAGCAACGAAAAGTAAAAACATATATATATATATATATGTATATTTCGTAAATGACTATGACTTACAACTATATTTATATGTAACCTCTTGTGTGTTTGTTATTGTTACCGTCTTCTTATACCATGAAGACAAATCGAATTGTTTATGATATTATGCAGATATTCGCAAGTATTAGGAGTTCAACATGAACTCTTTTGGAAATGATACACTTGATGGATACTTATCAATAGTCCTGGGCATTCGAATATTCGGTTCGGTTTCGGATAGGAACCAAATATATCTAATAAATCATTCTTATATCCAATAGGTACTTATGAGATTTCGGTTTGGTTTTGATACGGTTCCGAATACCCGTTTAATATGTTAATCACACATACATATACAAAATATATTAGTTAACATGTTAATTTAAATGGCCTAGTATTTATGGTTTAAGTATTCGTCAATCCAAAAGAGTTTGAGTCAATAAAATGTTAATTTTATAAGTTTTTATTGTATTTTAATATAGAAATACCATATACATTTGGATTTTTAACATAAAAACCCCTCAACTAAGTTTGTTTTGGGTAAAAACCCCTAAACTAAGTATTTAATGAAAAAACCCCCAAACTAACTTTATTTAGTGAATTAAACCCTCGCCGGTCATAATTACATGTACTACCGGTAAATCTTCAGTTTAGAGGTTTTATCATTAAACATAAAAATCAATAAAATTCAAAATATAATAACATTATCTAAAAATTCGTAATTTTAATTTTCAGATAAGAAATCACACTTATATTTACAAAAAAAATTAAAATGCTAGTTTTGAAAATTAAAATTACGAATTTTTAGATAATGTTATTACATTTTGATTTTTTGATTTTTTTATTTTTTGATTTTTTTTTTTATGTTTAATGATAAAACCCCTAAACTAAAAATTTACCGGTAGCACTGGTAATTATGACTGGCGAGGGTTTAATTCACTAAATAAAGGTAGTTTGGAGGTTTTTTCATTAAATACTTAGTTTAGGGGTTTTTATCCAAAACAAACTTAGTTGAGGGGTTTTTATGTTAAAAATCCTATATATTTATAATATGAGAGAATAGATAAAAGATAACGTGATATGGTGGTAACAATGTTCTCACTCTTTCTTTCTAATCTGGGTTCAAGTAGTATTGATGCCATTTTTTCTTATATTAAAAAGTTTAACCTTGTTTTTTGGATATACGGACACCCGTTCGGTTTCGGTTCGGTTCTGGTTCCGGTTTTATTTTTTGGATATAGAAATATAGGAACCATTCGGATATTTGAAATTCTAGTTCAGTTTTTCAGCTCCGGTTGTTTTGTTCAGGCCTACTTATCTGTTCACGTGTTGAATGTTCTGTCTTAAAAATTTCCCTTTGAACAGGTGAATCATGCATAGTCTATTTTTTGATACTTTGGTTTCCTCTTGTAGTGTGTGATAAGAGACATTATTAGGACTGAACACAAACAGAAGTGACGTGGCGTTAATTTATTGGTGGTAGTGTTAAATGAAATTTGAAAGAGAGAAGAATGAAATATGAGACTTCTTATCAATCCTAAATGAAGCTTTGCTGGAGATAATAAAGGAGTCGAGCTAGAGAGCTTTGGTTTTTACACTACTAAAAACAAGGCATATTCTAACAGAGACTCCGAAGAACAACGAAATCGTCGGACGAAAGGGACGATTTTCCGACGACATACCGACAAACATGTAAAACTCGAGTTTGTCAGAAATTCGTCGGAATATTCCGACGAATTTCCGAAAAAACAAAGCTCGTAGAAAACGTTCGACGAAATTTTGATGACGGCCCGATAAACAATATTACGTCAGAAGTTCGTCGGTATATACTGAGGAAATTTCGACGACATTTTTGATTGTTGCCAACAAGAATATGACCATTTTATAGCCGTTTGATATTTAAAAAAAAACGACGAAATTCCGACGAAATTAAAAATTTCGTCGAAATACCATCGGATTACCGTAAGCAATTTCCTATAAATACAGCCTCTCCTTATTCACCTCATTCACTCTTCACTCTCTCTTTACTCATTATAAATCCGAAAGAAAAATGTCTTCTGGAAATTATTTTCGTTCTTGGATGGATAAACCTCATATGGATCCAAACACCAAATTGCTTATGGATGAATACTTGGAAGGAATTGGAGAATTCATGAGGCTTGTTCAACAACAACCGGAAGAAAATACTGGTATTTTAAGATGTTCCTGCTCTTCTTGCAATAATAGTAGGATTATAAAGGAATGGGATATTTGGTCACATTTATATTTGAGAGGGTTTACACGGAATTATAAGATTTGGTATCTTCACGAAGAAACTGGTTATGGATATGGTAGTACTAGCGAACCTCATCCTGTTGATAGGGTAGAAGAACCTAGAATTGTTGTAGATTATAGTGTTCGTCTTGAGCAGATGGTACATGACCATTATAGAGGGGAAGAACCCAATGCAGAGTCTAAGAGATTTTTTGATTTGTTGGATGCAGAAAGACAGCCTTTGTGTAAAGGTTGCAGAGATGGTCATTCACCCTTATCATTTGCAACTAGATTGATGGGTATTAAGACATATTAGAATTTGGCTGAAGAATGCGTGGATGCGACTGCTGATTTTATTAAAGATGTTTAACCAGAGGATAATCTTGCACCGGATTCATACTACGAGGTTCAGAAACTTGTAGCGGGTCTTTGTTTACCGTATCAAGTGATAGATGTATGTATCGACAACTGCATGATCTACTGAATGTTTTTTTTTAACTTTCTGAATTTTTTTTTCAATATTAGTTTGTGTAAACTTAATTTCTATAATATTATTAGTTTTTAATTTCAAATTAAACTTATTTACTAATTTTTTTAAAAAAATAAAAAATAAAAATTCATTATTCATATATATAAAAATATGTAATTTTAAATAGAAATAAACTTCCGACGACGGATGTTCGTCGGTATATTCCGACGAACCATTTCGTCGGAATATACCAACAAAATGGTTCGTCGGAATATACCGATAGATTTTCTTGGAAACGACAGACTAATTTCCGATGATGACTTCCGTCGAAGTGTCGTCGGTAGTTCATCAGAATACCCATCTCTAGGAATTCGTCAGAATTCGTCGGAATTTCTGACGGATATTCGACGAATATTTTTTTTCCGATTAAATGATACCGACGACTTTTTTCGTCAATGTATGGTTTGTCGGAATATTTTGACCAACATCCGTCGTCGGAATATACCGACAAAATAGTTCGTAGGAATATATCGATGGATTTTTTTTTGGAAACGACCGACTAATTTCTGATGATAACTTCCGTCGAAGTGTCGTCGGTAGTTCGTCAGAATTCCTATCTCTCGGAATTCGTCAGAATTTGTCGGAATTTCTGACGGATATCCGACGAATTTTTTTCCCGATCAAATGATACCGACGATCTTTTTCGTCAATGTTTCATCGTAATATGTCTATTCTGACGGACCGACAGTTTTGGCCGTCGGTATCCGTCTGTTTTCTTGTAATGTTACTTTTTGAAGAACTACAGAGCTGTATTGTGTTGAATAAGGTTTTTGAGGTTGAACAAGTCGGAAACGTGATTGTTAGATTAAAGTTGGGTAGATTATAGTAATTGATCAGTGTTAATTTACAGGTCTGAAGTCTTGTTAATCTGATCAAACAAAGAGTGTAAATTGTGTAACAGATTTCTAATAAATAATAAAAAAAACAACCCAAATTGAACGATTTGGTCACTGATTCTTTTTGTTCAACTAATTTTCTGTGTTTTCTTTTTCTACAAATGTTATTGATGAGACCCAAGAAAATACAACTTTAGCCAAAAATTAATAAGAAAATAATCTTCCGATCCTTTAATAATTCATCTAAAGCCCAACTCTAAAACACTAAACAAGCTCACAATTGATATCATACAACCCGTAGATTTCTAGTGCAACAACTTTTCCCCTCAAACAACTAGGGGTAGGGCCCCCTCAAACAATTGGGGGTAAAGCTGGGCACAAATACTCGTTACCCATTTTAAACTTGTTACTCATTTCGTATTTGTCCCGTAAACAGAAGTATTTTCATAATCAAGGAAAGTAACAAGTTAGCAAATTTGATTACTTGTAAGTCTAAACCAAGTAATAAGTCTTAAATTTATTGTAGCTACTTGATTCGTTTTGACCGTTACTTAATTTTCAAAATATTATATAACATTTACATTGTTATTTCAGTTAATTTAATACTTATATAATATATCAAACATATAGAATAAAATAATTATCTCTTTTTTTATCAAATTATACGTTATATTATCTCACATTTGATTGTAACATAAAAATCAAGCAAATTTTCTTGTTGTAAATAAAGACAATCACCTAATTTTAAAATCATTGAAATGAAATTTCTATTTTATGAGTTCAAATACAAAAAAAAATACTTTAGATAACCAAGTACAAGTACATTAAGTTACTTGCAACTTGCAAGTATCTCATATATGAACGAATACTTGTTTAATCAAGTACTTGGTATTAAGAAGTATAAGTACAAGGCAAATTTTTTAATACTCGAACGGGCAAGTCGAGTTACATATATAGCAAAGACTTCGAGTATTTGCACCGTGCCCAGCCCTAACTAAGAGTACTTGTTTTGCCACGTCATTGCTATTCTCGTTGGGCCAGCTCAGCTGTGAGGCTTTCCGCAAATTTTTCTTTTAGAGCATGACTAATTCCTTGTAATTCAGGTGAGTTTACTGTTAGTCCATAATTCACGTAATTCAAAAACTGGTTTCAATTAGCGTAAGCGCTTCATAGATGGTTTGCACCAAACTATATAGAACCAAAATCGATTTATTTGTCAAACCAAAGACAGACACTGACACATTAGTGGTCCTCTCCGCACGTTTTTTCATCAATAGAGTATCATTTGTGTCAAGTTTCTGGGTCCACATTTGAAACTTCAACATTACTATTGACTTTGACTTTTGACGAATTCAACGTTAGGAACACTCGGACAGAAACTTCCTTTTCATGTTTAAGAAATTACGAACAGAAGCGTGTCTACTAAAGAACAAAGACTTTGCTTTCGCAATACCTATCTTACAAAGAAAAAAAATGAAACTGATGAGTTTGTGTTCAATCCTCTGTTTTGTTCTCGTAAGCTTCGTCGCTGCTTCTGTTTCAGCACAAACATGTACGAACGATAGAGTTTTCACGCCAAACGGTACCTACGATGCAAACCGCCGTCTTATCCTTTCTACTCTTCATTCCAACGTCACGGCTCAAAAGAGCCTCTTCTACAACGTCTCCATCGGACAAGAACCGAACCGTATCTACGTAACTGGGATGTGCATGCAAGGATCAGATCCAGTTGACTGTTCTGACTGTATCAAGACCGCCTCTGATGGTTTGTTACAAAGATGTCCAAACCAAACAGAAGCGTATTCATGGCCAGGTGATCCCACGCTTTGCCATGTTCGCTACTCCAACACTTCTTTCTTAGGAACTTTGGGTCTAAGTCCCCGTGCTAGCATCACCAACGGTGCAAATGTAACCTCGGATCAAACAGAGTTCAAGAAGATTTGGGAAGACTTGGTGGTTCGTATGATTGATGCAGCATCCTCTAGTGATAGCCATTACACAGCTAATACCGCAGCCTTGACAACTTTCCAAGAAGTCTATGCAATGATGCAATGCACGCCGGATCTTTCCTCTGATGATTGTAAGACTTGCTTGAGGCGGAGCGCAAGTGAGTACTCCCAGCCGTGCTGCAATACGAAGCAAGGAACTCGTGTTGTGCGTCCAAGCTGCTATTTCCGGATGGAATTGTATTCGTTCTCCAAGGCTTCTTTTGTTAATTTTACGGCCGCTTCTCCTCCTCCTGTGGCTGTGCCACAACCTGCACATGATCAGTCCAACACGACCGACAATGGTAAGTTTTCCAACTGAAAAAATAATTATTGAACCAACGAGGAGTTGACCTAGTAGCTTAAGCTCATGGATCATCTCTAGTAGGGGTTCGATTCTTGTTGGAAAGGACTACATTTAAAATAGTTTGGGTTTTTTATTAAGGGATGTACATTTAATCATTGAAAAATAAGATTGCAAAAAGAATCCAAATATTTGACATTGGTTTTCTTTTTAATGTTAGAAGATAGCAAAAGACTGTCAACTGGAATTGTCGTGGCTATTACCGTTGCAACTGGTGTTGGCGTCTTGATACTGCTTGTTCTTGGCTATGTTCTATGCCAGAGGAGAAACTCATACCAAAGAACTCAGTTTGAAAGTTAGTTTCTTGTTTGTTTAACTCTTGTTGTTGGATACTTGTAGTATAAATAATTATACACCATTGCTTTGCAGCTGATAGTGATATCTCAACTACACATTCATCACAATACGACTTTAAGACAATTGAAGCGGCAACAAACAACTTTTCCAGTAGGTATAAGCTCGGTGAAGGTGGATTCGGAGAGGTTTACAAGGTAAGTAGATCTCTGTTTACCATTTTTCCAAGTTACTATATGTTATGAAAAAATAACCAATGGTATGTAGGGTACACTTTCAAGTGGAACTGAAGTGGCTGTGAAGCGGCTGTCGAAAATGTCAGGACAAGGGACAAGAGAGTTCAGGAACGAGGCTGTGCTTGTGTCAAAACTTCAACATAGGAATCTAGTTAGGCTTCTTGGGTTTTGTTTAGAAGGAAAAGAAAAGATTCTCATCTATGAGTTCGTCCCCAACAAAAGTCTTGACTATTTCTTATTTGGTATGGTTTCCTTCTATATTTTTTATTTTATTTTAGATGGTTTCTTCTTTAGATTTTAAACTGATTGATTGATGGTATATGCAAATGTGCAGACCCTGAGAAGCAATGTCAGCTAGACTGGACTCAGCGATACAAGATCATCGGAGGAATTGCTCGAGGAATTCTTTATCTTCATCAAGACTCACAGCTCACAATCATACACCGTGACCTCAAAGCAAGTAACATCCTCTTGGATGCTGATATGGTCCCAAAAATTTCAGATTTTGGACTGTCTACCATATTTGGAATAGAGCAAACTCAAGGCAATACCAACAGAATAGCTGGAACTTAGTAAGTTATGCTCATAATTGCTGAAAACATATACAGTTTTTATTCTATTGAGTATTAACCATACTTGTATGCTTTTCAGCGCTTATATGTCTCCTGAGTATGCAATGCAAGGTCAATTCTCCATGAAATCTGACATATACAGCTTTGGAGTCTTAATACTTGAGATTATAAGTGGAAAGAAAAACAGTAGCGTCTACCAGATGGATGAAACTAGTACTGCTGGAAACTTGGTCAACAATGTGAGCATAAAGACCTCAACAACTTTCAAAAATTTAACATTATGACAAAAGGGTTCATTATATGTTCATTATGTATTAGGCTTGGAGGCTTTGGAGAAACGGGTCACCACTTGAGCTGTTGGATCCAGCCATTACTAGGAATAATCAGAGTAACGAAGTCACCAGATGCATCCACATTGCACTCTTATGTGTTCAAGACAATCCAGAAGACCGTCCAATGCTATCAACTATCATCTTGATGCTTACTAGCAACACAATCACTCTACCAGTGCCTCAGCTACCGAATTTCTTCCCGCAGAACAGGCACCAACTTGAGAAGGTATCTGAGGCATTTGAATCAAGTCGATCTACTGGAAAATCTGTTGGTTATTCTGTTAGTGATTCGTCCATTACTGATTTAGAGCCTCGTTGAAGATGGAAGTATTTTTCTTGTGAATTCTGTTTCTACTGTATCTTCCTATTATGTTTTTACTTTTTCCCACGTCCCGGAAACAACAATTCTGTAATGTCGAACACTATTTTTTTGGTAAAAAAGATCCAACATTATTTCTTAATTATAAGTGTTGCAAAATTCATGCTTGTCTGATCTCAGCTTCATAGTCTTGCCAAATTCCATCAAACTATGTCTAAATTCATCTTACATCTTATATATGTGAAGTATCTGACTCTGGTTTAAGTAACAAACGAAACAGAGAGTTATTTTCACCACTTGGCCAGGGATGTTGTTCAGACAGTTCTTGATAAGTCCATCTGCAGTGGTACTAACGCAATTTGAGAAATCTTTCTTCTTTCAGTACCTGGAGTACACATCGCTAGAGCATTAAACCTTTTCCAATCCTGGCCAAGAGAAGCCTTGAAGAAGATGCTATTTTGAGTAATATTAGAGAAGATAAGAGAGGAGACGTTTCTTGTTAAAGAATGATGTTTGGTCTGAATGATCATTCGTCCAAGCACTATACATCATCTTTTTATAAGAATCTGGCATCAATGGCCAAGGTATGTGTTCCTCAAACTAGATCCTGGTCTTCTCTAGGCTGGTCCGTGTAAGAGACTGTTGCATTATACATCATCTTTTTAAATGTTTGCATCATCTTCCGAGTAAAGACTTTGTATATGAATCTGAACACGTTCTCTGCAATATACAATCATCATTTATTTCGAGTTTCTGCCAAAACACTCAAGAAACCAAGAATCGCCGCCTAAGCTTAGAGATGTCCCTGATTAAGAAAAGATTACCACACTATATGTTCACAATTTATTGACATCTCTGAATATTTGGACGAGAATACATAAACAAAAGTTTGTATATAGCACTCTTTTGAAGTTGTGTGATTAACTTTAAGGATGTATTTTCTTGGATTGTCTTGGCTCAGGAGGTCCAATGAACAAATCAGTCTCCACTTCCATATTGTCATTGCCATCCGTGTTCACTTCTGATGATGTTAAGGTTGATGATGATGATGCTACTACTATTGCTCCCATTCCACTCAACTTTTTATTTACAAAATTCACCAAAATTCTTAATCACAATACCTTTTTTTTTTCATGATAGTAGTATCATTTATGACTAGAGAAAAAGAAAGTGTGTACCTTCTCATTCAGTTCTTTGTTTTCCATAATGAGATTCCTCTCCTACGATTTTGACAAGGAGCAGATAATTTTTCTTACTTGAAGTATTCAAAATCGAAACAGAATATAATTATTTAGGTAACTATAAAAATATGTACACACATAATATACGGAGAAATAAGGTGATGGTGAATTTTGTTGTACCTCTTCCTTCAACTTCTCAATTTCTTCACGGAGTAATTGGTACTGAAAATAGTTGAATATATAAAGAGATGTCAGCTAAAAATTCCATTAGTCAATATAATTAATGAATAGACCTTTTCATTTACACTACATGTATTGCATTGTAGATTCTCTTTACTGCAGTATTATCTTGAGGATGATAATATGCCATGCAACCCATGCCCATGGACATCAATGATATACTCAGGCATGAAACGTCCAAAGACCTCTATGTCATAGCATGTTAAATGCTTTTTTTTGTCAACCTAGCATGCTAAATGTTTAACTGAACAACATGTATTGTTTCAGTGACGTTTGCAGAATAATAAACAAATAAAATTTGGAAATTTGTTTTTTGGGAAATTGGGATGATATATAATTGAAAAGGAAAAACATGAACATTTAAAATTAACTAGAATTTGACATGTGGGTCTGCACGGATGTTTATTTTATTTTATTTTAAATCAAATATGATTGGTTATCTTTTTTAAATGTACTTATACATTGGTATTCCTTCAAGTTTGGGTATCCATTAGGGTTCAGTTTGGATCTGTTCGAATTTCGGATTTTTGAGTTTGAAGAATCGAACTTTATTCATATATTTATAAATTTCTGTTCAAATTCGATTCGTATTGTTGCGGAGTCAATTCAGATTCAGATAATCCATTTGAGTTATTTTAAAATTTTTAATGCATATATACTTTAATTTTCTCAAAAATTTAAAATAAAAGTTAATATATAATGAATTTGAAGAACATATGACAAAATACTTAAGTTTAACATAAAAATTAGGTTGATTTGTATATTTAGATTGAGAATCAATATATATTTTACGTATTTTTGTTGATTTGAGTATTGTTTAGCTGTTTACTTTTGATTATTGTATATATTTTCAAGTATTTTGAACAATTCAAATATTTTATACTTTTGGAATATTAAATCTAAAAATAATTACTATATTAAGTATATAATACAAATATGATTCATATATATTTAGATAACCATAATATTTCGGTTTAGATCAGGTTTAGTTCCATTTCTCTAGAAACCAAAACTTTGAATCTATTTAAATATTTAACCAATTTTGGTTTGGGTTTCATACTATGTTCTTCGGATTCGAGAATGGGTTTCATACTACTGTTCGAGAATGGGTTTCATACTACCGTTCTTCGGATTCGAGAATGGGTTTCATACTACTGTTCGAGAATGGGTTTCATAAACTGATGAAACCCAATTTTGGTTTGGGTTTAGATCGGGTTCAGTTTGGTTCTTCGGATTCGAGAATCCTAGTTTTATCCTAACCCTTTTGCATAATAACATTTTTGGATATTCACCATCAAAATGATATAATATGTAATTCACTTTTTGTATAATAACTTTTTTGATTCTCTCCACAACTATTTAATTAATTTATATATGTCTAGTTTTTTTATTTTTCAATAGTTATCTAAATATATTGTATACATTTTGATTTTATATAATTTAAATCTATAACAACATATGTTATATTCAGTTGATTTTATATGTAATTTAATTTGCTATCAGTTAAATACATACCAATAAAAACTCACAAAATTTTCACACAAAATTTATTATGAAATAACAATTTATAAAATCTCACAAAATTTATTATAAAATATTAACCTTAACCCAATTTATGCAGAGATTGAGAATGGTGTGATACTTGCATTGGTCAACATTCCTATTTAGTGATGTTCTTGTCAATTAAAATTTGAGGTTATGCAATAGTTCTGATTTTTAACGTTAATTCAGTTATATGTTGGCACTTGATTAAACAATATAATATTGGTTTATTAATAGATATAACCCACTTTATGCAGAGATCGCGACTGTAATGCCACGAAAGAGGAAACCCTTATGATTTGAAACTTTGAGAGATATAAATTAAATTATTGGATAAGTAATGTTAATCGTTTGTTATTCTGTTTGTGAAATAACGTGAAATCTTAACAATATAATTAGTAAATTAAAGTTGTTGAGAAAAATATCAGTGGTAAAAACTGTAAATACTAAGAAAAACATAAGGGTAAATTTTTATTTGCACTTCACTTTTTATAGATTAGATATTCTAATGCAGAGATCGCGACTGTAATGCCACGAAAGAGGAAACCCTTATGATTTGAAACTTTAAGAGATATAAATTAAATTATTGGATAAGTAATGTTAATCGTTTGTTATTCTGTTTGTGAAATAACGTGAAATCCTAACAATATAATTAGTAAATTAAAGTTGTTGAGAAAAATATCAGTGGTAAAAACTGTAAATACTAAGAAAAACAAAGGGTAAATTTTTATTTGCACTTCACTTTTAATAGATTAGATATTCTAAACCACATATTTGAATGATCCTAATTTCATTTATCAGTGGAAATAAAAAGTTAATGTATGTATGAATGAAACCGATATTTTAACTTTTCATGATATGTGTGTTTTTTTAGATAAGATTACCTTCTTGGCTCTTATCCTGGTCAAGCCTCGATCCAACTGATTCTCTAACTGGCGCAGCTCTTCAATAGAACATACATCAATACCTTCTCCGAGCAACTTTCTGCAATTATTCTACAGCTGAAGGATCTCACATTTCCCAAATCGCATAAATAAACAATTGTATTTTAAGATATTATAAGTTCTGAACCGTTTAGATATCTCAAGCTGCTCAATCTTTTTTGTCAGGCTATATGTTTCGCCTCTTGCTTGCTGCAAAGTAAGTAGTATAGTCGGTCAAACATTTAAACACAGATAAATAATCTTTATGGAAATTTATTCATCCACACTAAAATTGATCCATCCACACTATTAAAACCCAAAAAAAATGGATGACAATTCATTTTAATCATAATTAAAATCAAATATTGGAAAAGAGTTTTAACTACCTGAGAATCAGCATCATCTCTCTTATGGTTAATTCCAATTTCTTTGACACGTCTCTGATACCGTTCTATTGTTTTTGTTATACTGAAATAATCAAAGAAGTGAAAATGTTGAATCAAATTGTATTCCTTTTCAGTTCACCTTCCAACAAGCAAAATAACTATACATACATTTTGTATATGTCCTATAGGCTGATTTGGACATGCTCAGATCGAAAGTAAAATATCTATGCGAGCATCTCATCATTTTTACTGGCATTTAACTTTACTTATGTATGTATAGATGCACATGGACATGCTCAGATCGAAAGTAAAATGAATAAGCTTTACCTATTTAATAAATCATTAAGCAGTGCATTAACAACTATGTTTCTGTGGTTAACAATGCCTAGTTAATTGTGTTTAACCTCTCTTGGTTTTGCTCAAAAGACACTTAATTACACGTAATTCGTTTAAGTGCTTAATCACTTTACTCTATGCTTGATCATCATAAATTAATTAGCAGAAAAAAAATCAGTATAGCTATAAATATAAACAAAAGTGAACGGAACCATAGAAAATACTAATATAGTTATGATCTACCCACATGGGCTGACTCCTTCAGTGCCATTACTTAAGTAAAGCGTTTGTGGGTGAAAAGTGAAGCAAAATGTTTCTTTGTGCCACATTTTGACAAATTTATCTATAGATGTACTATACCATGCATCAGAATACACATATATACAAAAAAGTAATAACAAATGTTGATAACTTACATATATAATAGACTACAAATGCATTTATCATGTATTCGCCATGCCTAAACGGGTCTGTTCACACATAATGAGTGATCCCTCCATAAATTCAAACGCATTACTATAGTTTATATATTCTATTAGATGTATAGAAAAATATTACAAAACCAAACTTACACACACACACTTGTATATTATATATATAATATATAGAGAGAGAGACTCATCGACACATGTCTAAATAAGGTAACTTATCGTTGCTTCCAAGTATGGCGTTTATAGCCTAATTCATGAACATTCTAATAACACACATATATAGGCCTAATTTGAGCAACTAATGAACAGTATGCGCAAAAGTCACACGCATTTATATATATATATATTTCCACATAACTGACTAGATACCTATCATTGACTTTTCTTTGTTATAAATGGATATTCCATTATAAAAAGATCTCACTAGAGAGAGAGAGTGTGTGTGTGTGAGTCTGATAGATCAACTCATCTACAGCAAGAAGTGTATGGCTCACAACAACCACTCATATATACACATAATAAGATCATAGGTTGCAGTGCCATGTAAATCTGATTACTACACTAACTAGAATCCTATAAAAAGTACTCAATTTTTCTTCTCTGATCTACTTTACTTCTTAATAACAAAAGTCACCATTGAACCATTCTCTATCATGACTTTGACAATCACGTAATCAATTCAAATCCAATGATTCTCTAAATTAACCACTAATCAAATCAGTCATTGTAAATTGATTATAGCACTAGTAGTGTCGATAAGCAAAGAAAGGGAGGATAAGAAAGACATGAATAGTACCTAGAGCTAGAGAACTCATAGAGTTTTGATGTCGGAGAGAAGATAATCAAAGCAACTTCAGCATCACAAAGGACTGATAACTCGAAAGCTTTCTTCAAAAGTCCATTTCTTCTCTTGGAGAAAGTCACTTGCCTGCTCGTTGCGTTCTCTATCCTCTTCATTTCCGTCTTTCCCCTCACCATCCTTTAGTTTCTTATTTAATCTAAGATACAAATCTTCTGCTTTAAATCAAACCAAATAAAGAAAGAAAGGATCTATATAGCTAAATAAAACGAATAATATATATAATTAAAATTAATACGATGGTTAGACATAGATTAAAATTTTCTCAAGGACATCAACAGCAACAACAACAAGAATTGAAAGAAAAAAATCTTTAATTTGACTTTTAGAAAAAGGAAACAATTAATAGAAAATGGATCAACGAAAAACTAAAGAGAGATTGCGAGATTTACCCTCTTTGTATGTGTATGCTCTTGGATTGATGTGTCTCTATATGTGTATATTTCTTTGTATATGTGGCTGGAAAGAGAGATTCAAAAAAGAGAGAGAGAGAGAGAAGAGATTTCGGGAAGAGGTTACAGATTGCTGCGAACTTCCTAGAAACCCTAGATTTATGATGAAGATGGGAGAGAGAGAAAACATTTAAAAAAAAATTGAGAATAGCGTTTTTTATTATTTTTCCCTTTTTTAATTAAATTTGCCATTTTATCTTATGCCTATAGGAGTCTATAACCTAGACCAGTAGACCTGGTTCATTGAGGCACTGATACATTGCACTCTTTATTTTTAGAAATAGCATTACGTAATATCTTTCTTCTTTTGGTAAAAAACTTCAAATTAAATTAAAGGCCAATATATATATAAAATAAAATAGGTGCAATTATTCTGGCCAAGGAAAGAATAAGTTCCAATACGATGACAAGTTTAAAGTATCAAATGATTTTTTTTTCATTTTTTTTTATATTTAGTGGTAACCAAATTATAATACTACAACTCGTACGATGCGTCGATGCGTACAAATAAATATATATTTGGCTATTATGAAACTGTTGGTGTAGTTGCAGATTTACTATCTCCTCAACTTGTAGAGTAAAGCATATCGGAAGTAAATGTGATCCGATAAAAAGGTACTGGGAGGAGATCTTGACACGTGTCCTTGTGAACTGACAACCTATGGATCCGGTGTCCGTCAAAGTGGGTTTGACCAGTTCATCGGTGGACAACCAGCATCCCTGTCGGTTGCCAGCTCCTCTCGGACAAAATGTGCTCAATAATTTTCTCGCACGCACCTTCAGATATCCGTAGAAATATAAAAACCAACGAAAGAGTGAGAGATCTTTGAATAAAATATGTAAAAGTTTTTAAGACAAAAAGTTACTGAAACAGTTCTGTTCACATTTAAGTACGCGTGGATAGATCTGACCAGGAGTAATAATATTGTTACCAACAACGTGAAGGCATAGTGGTTACAAATAATTACCTTTTTGGTCTATGTAGGTGTAACCTTTTCTACAAAAGATGGTACAAGTTATAGAACATCAGTAATGTTAGCAACCATATGAATTTCTGAATCAAAACAGAAATATATTAATATTTCACTATTTAATTATATTTTACTTCTTCTAATTCGTGAATCATTATGTATATAATATGTGGCAATTGAGCTTTCACAAATATACCAAAAAATTCAGACAACAAATAAATCCCTAATATTATGGTATATTATCCGCAAGTTTACGGAGATATAAGCACGGTTTTTAACTTCAAAGTTATTAGAACTGGTTGTATTATTACTTTTAATAATTATAAATTATTTCATGATTATAATATGCGTTTGAATTTACTGGGTATTGTAAACACTACAAAATTACAACAATAAAGTAACTCCACATCTATACCATAGGTCCATAGTGTTGAGGATCAACGTAGGGAGAAACAATCGTCAAATGAAATATATAGCTTTACTACTATCATGTACTCTTGGTTTACAGATGAAGATTCCGTAGTTGTAAACAGAACTTTAGTTACTTTAATCGTGTGATAAACAATAATGCATCCGTACAACCATGCTTGTTATATAACAGCGACCATACTTTCATCTCCGTGACACACCAACCAGATAATATCACGTGGCAGCTCAGCCTCTTTGTTTGATTAGCTTCTTACCATCATACTTTATTCATTTTCTATTATTTTAATTATTTTTAACCAAATAACCAATCTGCATAAGCAAGTGGTTATCCACTATTGGATGCTTTTCATTATAGTAATGGTCTATTTAAGTGACATTTGCAGTTGTTAATATTTTCATATCTCGGTACAGGTGTCGCACGCTAGGAGGACCACTTTCTTTTCATTAGTTTGTTTGTAGTTTTCAAAGTAGTTTTTGGATTTTGATTTTCTAAAAACTGTTTTTTACCCAATCATGATTTTAGCAAAGTAGATTTCCTAATTTTTAGGGAAACTAGTTTTTTCTTGTTTTCTTGTTTTGTGCTTAAAAACTAGAATCCACATTTTTCTGGTTTTTGCTCACGTGAAGCATTTCTTTTCTTTTCTTTATTTTGTTTTGCTAAAAATATCTTATTTTTAGAAAACATCTACTATATGTGGAAGCTACATTTAGGTGATGATAATCTTTTTAAAAACTTAAGTTTTTGGAGTTTGTTTAGATAAGTCAATTTTATATTTATTTAATTAATATCTTATGCTATAAATTTATATAAACTTAATTTAATTTGTTAGTTATAATTATTATACATTTATTACATTTTAATTTTTCTTTTATTTAAAATTGAGCTATTACTTTCCATGTTGAAATATCAGAATTACATAAATCTATTATTTTATCATATTTTATAAATATATTAACTAATTTTTTTATAATATATAATTATTAATTATCTAAAAGTACATGTTACTTTAAAATCAATTTATTTATTTTTATTTGTTTTAAAAAATATATATTTAAACAAAAACCAAATCTGTGTTACTTAGATTTTTAGCAATTTTTTCATGTTAGTTTTTGTATTTGTTTTTAGAGATTTTTATATAATAGCAATTTGCATGTTTTATGATCTCTTTTCTCGTTATATATACATATTATACTATACATGTGTGTGTACATTTTAAATCCCTATACTTATCTAAAATATAATAGAAAATAATTTACATAATATTAACCAGTTAATTATGCTTAGTGAGAAAGAAAAAAACTGAAAATTAATTTACATATAACTAGAATTGTCAATAAGATTAATTTAAATTTATATAAGAATTTTTTAAAAACCTCTCAACAAAACTAACTTAATTTTTAACATTTATTTTATTTTAAATTTACCTATGCTGTTAATAATCTATCAGCATTATTCTATTAAAATATGATATATTCTTAGTAATTTTAATATTTTAAAATAAATCATAAGTCAAAATTAAAAAATTAAAATCAAAAACCAAAAACTAAAATCTAAATCACCAATCATGTTTTTCAAAAATCTAAAATCTACTGCAAAATCAAAAAACAAAAATGAAAAACCAAAATCTAAAAACTAGAAACTAAAAGCCAAAAACCAAAAACTAAAATCTAAAAACCATTTAAACAATCATCACCTTGTTCCTTTTTTGTTATTGCCAGTACAATGCTTGTTGAAATGCTTTTCCTCACATAGAAATGAGATATCTAGCTATGTGAATAAACATTTCCACATAATTACAGTGATAATATACTTTTCCCATTAACTCAAATAAATCTGGTATAAGTAGTTTTCATGTCGTTACACAAACATTTTATTAACTTATGCCAATGTACCCTCTTCTGTCTCCTACTTCTGTTTAATTATCCTCTGTTGTGACCGCAGACCTCTCCTGCAACATGTATGTTCTTGTACCCACTAGCTATTCCCCTCGAAAACTAAAAAAAATAAATAACAGGTAAAATGCTATAAACTACAGAACAATTAGCTGAAGATCTATCAAAAATTTCAGTCAAAAAAGAAGAAGAAAAAAATGTAACCAATGCCAGGTCAATTACAGCGTAACATTATTCTAAAGCAAACAAGAAACCACCAAATTTTATAAATAATAAGCATTTTTGTACAATTTAACTGTGGAAGGACAAATGCAGTTTGAAGGATGAATTTACTCATGAGATATGTAAAAATGTGTGATATTTTGATCTCTTCAAATATCAATAAGAAGCAATAACATGTTTTCTTCAATATAAGAAGCGAAAAAAGATCGCAACTGTTTAATCATGTATATCCTTAACCCTTTCTCAAGTCCTCTTCTGTATAAAGCTTAGCTTGTTTCTTCTATAACTATTGGGTTTACAAATGAATTATAGAATATAACCAGCAATCAAGCAATCAGAGCTTCTTGATGCTTGCTTGGTTGTAGTGTAGAATTACTTCAAACATGTAAATTACTCTCAACTGAAATAGAATAAATGTATGCATCTTTTGACAATCTTTAACACTTTGATATACACATGTAAGAAAAAGGAGAGATGAACCTGTTATGTATCCCTAGAGTCTCCTTCTCTGGTGTTATAATCTCTGATTTATTTCATTCATAACCAGATGAAGAAGAAAGAAGAGTTTTAATTTTTTTTCTTAAAAGTTCTAATTTCTTTTCCTTATGATACCACTTACCAGTTGGTACGTACACCATAACAGACTGGTGCAGCCCCAACCAAGTATGGCAATGTACACACTTCTCGAGCCACAGCTATAATGAACCTATTTTCCGTCCATGATTGTGGTTGCACTCAATGTGCTCATCAACATTCGGCTTGTTACGCAAAGAGGGTTTTCTTCTCCTCTTGGTGTTGTTGTTACCTTTTAGCTTTATGGCTCCAAGTTCGTTAGCAATGACTCACATTGGCTGCAACCACCTTCTGAGGAAGAAGAGGAATCTGAACTTTCTCTTAACAAAGCTTCCAGCAACGCTTTCCAAAACCGTTCAATGTCTAGGTCTGTTAAGTCCCACAGATTCGTCACAGTGGCTGGAGATCCAGCTAAGAGATATGAGAGTGGTATGCCTTGTGAGATGTACCAGCCTTTTAGCCATTGTGATCCACTATTGCATCCCATTAGTAAAGTTGCAGAACAATTATCTAGCTTCTTCATTTCGGGACTAGACAGATATTGTGCTTCTGAAGTGTCATATAAATTAGAACATCTATCAGAAAACTAATCTCAGAAGTAAAACGTTTAAACAGTCAGGGAAAATTTGTAATTTCATATGGATACCGTGATAGAACAAACTCTAGAAATTCCAAGAAAAACTAACTTGCTTTATTAAGAATCACTTAAACAATCTATCTCGATCTGTTTAATGGGATTTACTCAACGTCACAACTTGACTAGAGACAGACCAATTCTTAATCTACCCGAAGCACTAAGGTCAAGACAATCTCCCAAATTCTCAAACCAATATCGCAGCTAAGAACACACTCTTTAGCTCGATGACCATAAAACTCTAAGCCGTAACCTAGTTGAAGAACTCTATCACCAATATATACTCCATTGTATCTTCTTGTGATACCTCGAAATCTCCTCAATATCTTCTTGTTTTTCAACCAACAAACCTCCTAGAATCTTAGGTAATTATCTTGAAACACGGTTTCCTTATCTTTAGTACCATGTGTTGAACACTCGCTGACACGTGTTACACATCTTCCTCGCGCTCAAACCTTGAGATCATTCTGTGTG